TGATCTTCAGAAATCATTCTAATATGCTGATTTATTATTAGAATTATCAACAGTTGTGCAGCCAAATATTTTTAAGTTACGCCTTCTTTCTTTGCGTGAACGTTTGGGCGGCGTTATGCAAATCTTCTCACATCGTGACGTAGACATGTGGGGTGTGTTAGAACGAGCCGTTTTAGGTAGGCGTGGTTGACTCTTAACTTTTAGAAAGAATATCTCTTTGGATTTGAGACTTTAGTCTTTGCAACTTTACAGATCTTCTTTATGCACCAAGAGCTTGTAACACTCCAAAGAGAAAGGAAAAATTGAAATCGCATCATATGACCCCTTTAAACTTGATTTCCATGCCATTTTTTTTTCAGTCCAAACCCTCGTCGGTTATACAGTATTATAAGTCGCATACAAATATTTATTGCCAGCAGCCCTCACTCCACATTTTCTGGTTTGTGCACATTAAGGCAGTATCTGAGGATGAGAAAGATAACTGCCTGCAAAAGGATCTGAATTTAGAACGTTTCACAGTCCGATGAGTCCTGACCAAGCACAAGAGCCACTAGAACAGGTTATAAAAACACAGCTCACGTTTTGATTGTCCTCTCGTCATTCAAAATGTGTGTGAGTGTGTGTGATGGCTTGTTTGTCTGATTCTAGGCAACCCAGTTTATCTACAAAGCCTCACTCTACTGTGAATCTCAAATCCCAGTTGTTAACTGAGCTGAAGGTTTGAGGTTATGACCTAAAGGAAGCTTGAGGATAAGGTTAAATGAATAAAAGTATTAGCAATCAGAAATACACTTTGAAAAAGACCCTCAATGTTCTTTCGTCCTTGTAATAGCTCAAAATCACAGTATCAGATATATAAATACATGTAAATATATATTTGATTTGTTTCTGAGATTCATAGCAAATGAAAAAAATAGACAACTCTATGCATTAAAGATTTTTTTTTTTTTTTTTTTGCAATTCAGAAATAATTTCCCCCAGGAGCCAGATTATGTTCAGCAACACAGGACTTTTCTTCTTTCTCACATATTACACATTATCATAGATTATAAATCATTGAATTAGTCAAAAGCTCAACTTTTTTTTTACTCAAATGTATTGTTCAGGTATGTAAGCCTGGGGGTCAACCTTCATCATAAAGCCACAAATAAACCCATTTTGTATGAAAACTGAATAATTGATTCAAAGCATGGCACATTCAAACCAAATATAATTGCACATGCTGTTTTAGGGCAATTAAAGTGGAATTTCTGAAAACATAATGATTATTATGGGATTTGTATAATTGAGGGCTAAGGCTAGAATTAGTTTTGCCTTGTTTATATTTTGGAGGATGAGTCTCATAAACGAGTCTTGGCGGTTTAGGAATAGCACTGTCTTGTGGGACCAGAGTTCAAGCAGCACACGCATTTACATGAATAAATGTGCCAGTGATTATTAATGCTTTGTTATGTCTTAAACAATTCTAATACTTCTCATCTCTGAGGGCTGAGCTTTGGCACAGACACTCTTCACAGATTCAAGGTAATTTTTCAGAACTGTTGCGCATAATTCTCTTGGTTTTTGTTTTCTTTTTGTTGTGCAGTGTGTATGGATGCCCCTTGGCTAAGAAAAGGAAAACCCAAGAGAAGCCTCCGCAGGAGCCAGCTTCCAAACGCCGTCCATTTCTAACCATGGCTGATGGAGAGCCCACCATGTATGAAAGCTATGAGGCCATGGAGGAGGGAGAGGAGAGGGAACAGGAAGAAGTAGAGGAAGTGGAAGAGGAGGAGGAGGAGGAAGGGGACGATGAAGAAGAGGAGTGCTCAGATGACAATGAGGAACAGGGAGAGGAAGAAGAGGACGAGGAAGAAGATGGAGAGGTGGAGAGAGAGGAGGTAGAGGAGATAGAGCAAATGGAGGAAGAGGTAGAAGAAGATGAGGAAGTTGTGGAGGAGGATGGGGATGATGAAGAGCAGGAAGATGATGAAGAGGAGGACGATGAAGATGAGCATGAAGAAGAGGAATACTATGAAAATCTGAGTCATCAGCAAGGTAAGGCTTTTTAGATTGATTGCATATTCTGCTAACATTTTCCAGAATGTTTGTGTAGTTATAGAGACAATGTTCTTAAAACATTAAATAAAAAATGTATGTAATGTAATGTATGTTTGAAAAATAAAATATCTTATGATTTTTAACCATATTCTAAAGACATTTCTTACTTGATTAATTAACTCATGGATATGTTTTGTTTTTTTGTTTTTTTGAATGGTAAAACTTTATCAAGTCTGATAATGTTGAAAGATTATTCTATTCATGTTATTACAAGATTTTTCAGAGAAGCTTTAAATGTTTTTCCTTGGTTATACAAACATTCTGGAAAATGTCAGTAGGAAATATAATGTTTAGAATCGACAGAAAGACATTGCTCTGACACACAGAATGCCTCATGAAATATGAATCAAGGGCAGCTTATTGTAGGTCAACTGACATTTCAGAGTATAATTGACAGAATATGCAGTCATTAAAGTCAATGTTTTATTTCTTAAATTGCCTGTTTTAGTTTCAAGTCATACAGTATGTGTAATTTGCTGAATCAGAATTAAATCTACATATACCCTGCTGAGAATGGCCGGCCTTCGCCATCCTAATTAATGTAAATTTTACAGCATGGAACAATCCAACTCCCTTTTCGAAACTGAGGGAAAGCAGATGTGGCTGCTTCCTTAGTATGCGTCTCACCCTCATTCTCTGGTGTCCTCAATCGCTTGTGACAGTGCTTCCAGAGTAATAGAGAGAGGAGGCTCTCTGAGTTATTAACTTTGGCCCCCCTCCACACACGCACAACGCCGTTCCAGGAGGTGTCAAATACACTCAGCCCCCCACCCCTCCCTGGTGAAAATGGGCTCCTCCTGAGGATATTTCTGGCTCCAGAAACAGAGCACCTCATCCGCTGCTTATCCCTGCAGTCTCATCCGCCTCTGTCCCAAATACTAGCAACACTAAAATCTTTTCAGTACAATTGAGAGGCTTTCAGAGCAGCCTGTGCTGCTTACATGTTATTGAACACGAATATGTCTGGTGAAACATTTAAAAGGCTGCCTGATGATTCATGTACCATATTGCAGTTTCTCTAAAATTCATCTGTTTCTTTTGCCGAATGCTCAAATATATTTCAGCGACTTAGTGGCAGTCTTAGTGGCAGCGACTTAGTGGCAGTCACCATCTTGCTAAATTGCTTTTGATTATTTAAATCTATTTGTACCTGTGTCATCGAGCTGTACGCGAAACTCTGGCGTGATATTTGTCTTAGATTTGCTGCATCAATGCTATCGTTCATGAGACGTTACATTTTCATAATGATAGTGTTCAGGCCGCTTCAGATTATAGAGAGGACTGACATTTCGTTTGTGACTTTATCATGCCGCACAAGCCGCTTGCTGTTACCAGGGTGGAAGGCCCTAGTGCGCAACGTATTTGAGGATGTATTTTTGGAGCGGTTTAGAAAATCTTAAAGGATTAGTTCACTTCCAGAATAAAAATTTCTCGATAATTTACTCAACCCCCATTGTCATCCAAGAAGTTCATGTCTTTCTCTCTTCAGTCGAAACGAAGGTAAACGGAAAACATTCGAGGAAAACATTCCAGAATTTTTCTCCATATAGTGGACTTCAATGGGTTGAAGATTCAATTTGCAGTTTCAATGCATGCTTCAAAGGACTCTACAAGATCCCAACCGAGGATTAAGAGTCTTATCTAGGGAAACGAACGAACTTTTGAAAGTTATTTTTATGGGCTTTTTATGCCTTTTATTGAGATAGGACAGTAGAGAGACGACAGGAAAGCACTGGGAGGGGAGAGGGGAGCGGGAGCGGAATCGGCAAAGGGCCTCGAGACAGGAATCAAACTCGGGTCGCCTTGAGCGCAGCTGCGCTGTATACACGTTACGTAGGTTATGCGTGACATAGGTGGAAGTACCGACCCAGTGTTTACAAAGCGAACGTGCAAAGAGACAAAAGCCCTTTACAAAAAAAAAGGTAAAACGATGATGTCGGACGATTTTGAAGTTGGAGGATAAAATGAGATTTTACCTTTTATAATCGAAGTACACGGACGAAGAACTGCTGCGCCGTGACCTTTCCAACGTTACTACGTAATGCGTGAAGTCGGGGACATGCATCGCAGAGCTAGTGCAAGATGAGCATTTGTGGTTAAAAAATATATACATTTTTGTTTTTTTATAGAACAATATAACAATACGAATAATACGAGATAAGACCCTTATTCCTTAGCTGGGATAATTTAGAGCCCTTTGAAGCCGCATTGTAACTGCAATTTGGACCTTCAACCCATTGGACCCCAAGTCCACAACATGAAGAAAAATCCTGGAATGTTTTCCTCAAAAACCTTAATTTCTTTTCGACTGAAGAAAGAAAGACATGAACATCTTGGATGACATGGGGGCGAGTAAATTATCAGGAAATTTTTATTCTGGAAGTGAACTAACCTTTAAGGTTACACTTTATTTTGAATATCTACTAACTATTTATTTAGACATTCTACTAACTATAATTACCTTTGCAACTACACATCAACTAACTCTTATTAGCGTATTAGTAGAGTATTCGTAAACAGTTAGGTTAGGGTTAGTAGAATAAGTTGACATGTACTTTCAAAGTTACTTATAGTCAGTAGAATGTCTGTTGGAGGAACATCAAAATAGTGTTCAGACACAGACTCTCCACTAATACTCTAAAGATTGGTATTTGACGTAGTTGCAAAGTTATTCACAGTCAGCAGAATGTCTAAAGTGGACTATTAAAATAAAGTGTTGTCAAATTCCTTGTGATTTTTGCATTTAACCAACAAATTGTTCTCTTTTCTCTTCAGACGACAATTATTCTAGAGGTGGACAATCAAAATCCAATCAAATAGTTGAGAAGGACAATAACAATAACAATAGCATTAACAATGAGGAGTATGAGAATTATGACGAGCTGGTGGCCAAGTCTCTTCTCAACCTTGGTAAAATCGCAGAGGATGCCGCCTACCAGGCCATGACTGAGTCAGAGATGAACAGCAATTCTTCCAACAGTGCAGGTGAGGATGATGATGAGGATGAATATGAGGGGAGTGAACAAGGAGGCCATAAGGCAGAGTTGAGCGTCGACTTGGATAGCGATGTGGTACGCGAGACCGTGGACTCCCTAAAACTTCTGGCCCAGGGACACGGAGCCGTGCTTCCTGACGAGGGATACGCAGACGCCGGGTCTGGGGATCCTGGCTCAGCTGGCCACACTAATGGACGGGGCCAGACGGAGGAGAGTGAGGAGGAAGTGTGTCTCAGTAGCTTGGAGTGTCTGCGCAACCAGTGCTTCGACTTGGCCCGCAAACTCAATGAGACCCAAACGTCCGAGCGGTACACGATGGAGGTCCATGTGCAGCACCAGATGGAGCATCAGCATCAGCAGCATCAACAGCAGCAGCAGCAGCAGCCTCCAATGCATCACATGCCCAGGTATGACAGCTGCCAGATGGACCAGCACAGACCCCTTGAGAGGAACTACTCAGACATGGTCAATCTGATGAAACTGGAGGAGCAGCTCAGCCCTGCTTCAAGAGGCTACCCCTCTAGCTGCGCCCAGGAAGGGGATGAAGACACTACGTCAGTGGCCTCCGAACGTTCCGATGAAGCTTTCGACATGACTAAAGGCAACCTGTCGCTGCTGGAAAAGGCCATTGCTCTGGAATCCGAGCGTGCCAAGGTTATGCGAGACAGAATGGCATCAGAACAGATGGTGGCTCGGAGGGACAATCAGCGTCTTCATGGAGAGCACAGCCCAAGGCAGAGCAGCAGTGCAGAAGAACGCAGGGCCCGACTCCATCATGATGGCGCAAAAAGAGCATATTACCCTAAAGGTAAAAATAAAACTTCTAATTAGATTTTGCATTTCAGCAGAGATTTCAGTAGATAGTTCCCTTCATTATTCAGAATATGTAAGTCATATTCTGCCACTGAGAAAACAAATAAAAAAGGTTATTTTGGTAATTTCTCACAATTGTTAGATATAAAGTCACAACTGTGAGATAAAAAGTCAGAATTTCCTTATTTTATTTCTTTATTTTTGGTAAATGTGACTTTATGTGATATTATATTTCACAATTGTGACTTTATTTCTCCTAATTGTGACATTATATCTCACAATTTGACTTTATGTCTCACAATATGGCTTCATATCTCAAAAATGTGCTTTATTTTTCCTAATTGTGATATTATATATCACAATGTGACTTTCTTTCTCACAAATGTGACTTTATATATTCCAATGTGACGTGCTATTTCTTATTCTGAAACATTTTCTCACAATTACCAGTTTTATTTTTGTCTGTTACACTTGAGATTTATAAAGTCAGTACTATCCTATGTACTTCTTTATTTTTGGTAGTTGTGACTTTAAATCTCACAATGTGGCATTATATCTCACAAATGCAGCTTAATTCCTTCTATTTGTGTTATTTTTCAGTAAACATCACAATGTGAATTTATTTCTCGTAAATGCGACTTTATATATTCTAGTGTGACTTCTTGTTTCTTACTTTAAACATTTTGCACAGTCTTTCAATGAACTTTAATTTTGTAAATTACCTGTATTTGTTTAAGGTATTATTACTTAATGAAAACAACCCAACTGCAGTTTGACTGATATTACTTGGAATGCTCAATAAAAAAACGTGATTTCTTAAAAAGATTTATAAAAATGGAGTTATCAGTTTTTGCAAATGAAGGTCAAGGTCAAGGTCAAGGTCAACTTTATTATCCCCGAAGGGCAATTTGTTTTACAGCCAACAGTAAACCATATGCAAACAACAAACAAGCAACCACAACACAAACAAAAACAATGACTTCCGTTTATAATATACATAAAATTATTTATAATTTAAAAAGCCAATGGCAGCTGGTATAAAATAATTTTTAAATCTATTGGTCCTACATAAAGGCAAATAATATCTGCGAGTAGAAGGAAGCAACTTAAAAACATTCTGCAAGGGATGGCTTGGATCATAATAATCATAATTAACTCAGCCTTCTTCAAAGTCCTAGCCTTATACAAGTCGTTCAAATCATTTAAAGTGGTGCCAACAATCTTACCACACACTTTAACAATACCCTGCAATCTGTTTCTGTTTTTAACGTTTAGTGACCCATACCAACACACAAATGAGAAAGTAATGACAGATTCAATACAACAAGAGTAAAACATCTTGACAAGCAAAAATAGTTTTTTTTCCCCCCTCCCATTCTTTTTTTAAAGCTATTTTATGGGCTTTTTATGCCTTTTATTGAGATAGGACAGTAGAGAGACGACAGGAAAGCACTGGGAGGGGAGAGGGGAGCGGGAGCGGAATCGGCAAAGGGCCTCGAGACAGGAATCAAACTCGGGTCGCCTTGAGCGCAGCTGCGCTGTATACACGTTACGTAGGTTATGCGTGACATAGGTGGAAGTACCGACCCAGTGTTTACAAAGCGAACGTGCAAAGAGACAAAAGCCCTTTACAAAAAAAAAGGTAAAACGATGATGTCGGACGATTTTGAAGTTGGAGGATAAAATGAGATTTTACCTTTTATAATCGAAGTACACGGACGAAGAACTGCTGCGCCGTGACCTTTCCAACGTTACTACGTAATGCGTGAAGTCGGGGACATGCATCGCAGAGCTAGTGCAAGATGAGCATTTGTGGTTAAAAAATATATACATTTTTGTTTTTTTATAGAACAATATAACAATACGAATAATACGAGATAAGACCCTTATTCCTTAGCTGGGATAATTTAGAGCCCTTTGAAGCCGCATTGTAACTGCAATTTGGACCTTCAACCCATTGGACCCCAAGTCCACAACATGAAGAAAAATCCTGGAATGTTTTCCTCAAAAACCTTAATTTCTTTTCGACTGAAGAAAGAAAGACATGAACATCTTGGATGACATGGGGGCGAGTAAATTATCAGGAAATTTTTATTCTGGAAGTGAACTAACCTTTAAGGTTACACTTTATTTTGAATATCTACTAACTATTTATTTAGACATTCTACTAACTATAATTACCTTTGCAACTACACATCAACTAACTCTTATTAGCGTATTAGTAGAGTATTCGTAAACAGTTAGGTTAGGGTTAGTAGAATAAGTTGACATGTACTTTCAAAGTTACTTATAGTCAGTAGAATGTCTGTTGGAGGAACATCAAAATAGTGTTCAGACACAGACTCTCCACTAATACTCTAAAGATTGGTATTTGACGTAGTTGCAAAGTTATTCACAGTCAGCAGAATGTCTAAAGTGGACTATTAAAATAAAGTGTTGTCAAATTCCTTGTGATTTTTGCATTTAACCAACAAATTGTTCTCTTTTCTCTTCAGACGACAATTATTCTAGAGGTGGACAATCAAAATCCAATCAAATAGTTGAGAAGGACAATAACAATAACAATAGCATTAACAATGAGGAGTATGAGAATTATGACGAGCTGGTGGCCAAGTCTCTTCTCAACCTTGGTAAAATCGCAGAGGATGCCGCCTACCAGGCCATGACTGAGTCAGAGATGAACAGCAATTCTTCCAACAGTGCAGGTGAGGATGATGATGAGGATGAATATGAGGGGAGTGAACAAGGAGGCCATAAGGCAGAGTTGAGCGTCGACTTGGATAGCGATGTGGTACGCGAGACCGTGGACTCCCTAAAACTTCTGGCCCAGGGACACGGAGCCGTGCTTCCTGACGAGGGATACGCAGACGCCGGGTCTGGGGATCCTGGCTCAGCTGGCCACACTAATGGACGGGGCCAGACGGAGGAGAGTGAGGAGGAAGTGTGTCTCAGTAGCTTGGAGTGTCTGCGCAACCAGTGCTTCGACTTGGCCCGCAAACTCAATGAGACCCAAACGTCCGAGCGGTACACGATGGAGGTCCATGTGCAGCACCAGATGGAGCATCAGCATCAGCAGCATCAACAGCAGCAGCAGCAGCAGCAGCAGCCTCCAATGCATCACATGCCCAGGTATGACAGCTGCCAGATGGACCAGCACAGACCCCTTGAGAGGAACTACTCAGACATGGTCAATCTGATGAAACTGGAGGAGCAGCTCAGCCCTGCTTCAAGAGGCTACCCCTCTAGCTGCGCCCAGGAAGGGGATGAAGACACTACGTCAGTGGCCTCCGAACGTTCCGATGAAGCTTTCGACATGACTAAAGGCAACCTGTCGCTGCTGGAAAAGGCCATTGCTCTGGAATCCGAGCGTGCCAAGGTTATGCGAGACAGAATGGCATCAGAACAGATGGTGGCTCGGAGGGACAATCAGCGCCTTCATGGAGAGCACAGCCCAAGGCAGAGCAGCAGTGCAGAAGAACGCAGGGCCCGACTCCATCATGATGGCGCAAAAAGAGCATATTACCCTAAAGGTAAAAATAAAACTTCTAATTAGATTTTGCATTTCAGCAGAGATTTCAGTAGATAGTTCCCCTTCATTATACAGAATATGTAAGCCATATTCTGCCACTGAGGAAACAAATAAAAAAGGTTATTTTGGTAATTTCTCACAATTGTTAGATATAAAGTCACAACTGTGAGATAAAAAGTCAGAATTTCCTTATTTTATTTCTTTATTTTTGGTAAATGTGACTTTATGTGATATTATATTTCACAATTGTGACTTTATTTCTCCTAATTGTGACATTATATCTCACAATTTGACTTTATGTCTCACAATATGGCTTCATATCTCAAAAATGTGCTTTATTTTTCCTAATTGTGATATTATATATCACAATGTGACTTTCTTTCTCACAAATGTGACTTTATATATTCCAATGTGACGTGCTATTTCTTATTCTGAAACATTTTCTCACAATTACCAGTTTTATTTTTGTCTGTTACACTTGAGATTTATAAAGTCAGTACTATCCTATGTACTTCTTTATTTTTGGTAGTTGTGACTTTAAATCTCACAATGTGGCATTATATCTCACAAATGCAGCTTAATTCCTTCTATTTGTGTTATTTTTCAGTAAACATCACAATGTGAATTTATTTCTCGTAAATGCGACTTTATATATTCTAGTGTGACTTCTTGTTTCTTACTTTAAACATTTTGCACAGTTAACAGTTTTATTTTTTCTGAGGTGGAATCAAGTTTCCATAAAGGAGCATACTTACACAAACAGAGATATTTTGAATATGAATATAATTTTCTCGTCCTGAAAGCTGTTGCGGCATTTGTTCCCCAGTGTCTTGGGTCACTTAACATTCCGTCACACATTGCGCCGATGACATTGATGACTATGGGGTCACTTTGGTGAGACTGAAACATTTTTGGGGCTTGTTTTAAATACTCAGGTCACCCTGGTAGCGACTTCCATAATGACAAAAGCTAACGCTGCTAAAATAGGCTGACATGGTAACATCAGAGACTTACCTTGTCAGGCATGAGTAATGGCAATCTGCACGGCCTGTTAAGAAAGCAAATCTCATCCCTTGGATCCCATACATGGTTTATTACCTCAAATCCTTCCCAATCCACACCCACTACCTTTGGGAATGAGCCACCTCCTCTGATATATCCAGATATTAGCAATCAGAAACTACAGGAGCATATCAATATCACATTTAACAAATGTACGTTACAGTGTTGAGGATCCTCAGATCGCCTCTGGTTACCCAACCTAACAGCTCTTCCTATCTGGTACTTTAAAAGGTTCATCATTTGTCTCTGCTCAGATGGAACTGCTTTGTATGTTTCATTTCCTTCCATTTGCTCAATTTGCACTATGTTTTCCATTAAAGAGAGCGTCTCTGTGCTTCCTATCGTAGAGCAGTTTGCTGTTGTTTTCAGTGCACGACCACAGCAAGTCAGAGGGTCGTGTAATTATAGAATTACACCATGATTTCACACCTCGTCTCCAGAAACTATTCTTGGCACTAATTATTGGAGCGTCGTTATTAAACATGTCGAGTGATCTCACTGTTCTGACTGACAGGGAGCATTATTATTGCATGCTTGTGGAGTTCTACAGCAGTTATTTTTGGCTAATAAAAGAGGGAAGATATTTCAGATGTGTTCACTTAGCTAAACCGGTTTGAATAACAGAGAATGCATGTACTGATAAATGCATCCACGAAAAAACGTATTTTTCTTGCGGGTTTTCATTTGCAAGATAAAATTGGGGAACTGTTATAGTGGAAACGTTAACCTATTTAACAGCAGGAATCTGAATTGGTTGCATGTATTTAATATCAGTAGCACACATGAACACGTTAACCTGGAGTAAAATGTCTTTGTAGAATAAAATGGCATGAGATGAAATCATTGATACATTTATATGTATAATGTAAAGACTCTGATTCCTATTTCCTCACAATGATTGTCTCATTTTATGCGATTCCTACTTTTCATACTGTAAGGTGATTGTAAATCAGCTTTTCTTTCTCAGTGCGTACAGTTGTATATTTCATCTTTATGAAATGGTTTCAGATGGTGGAGATTGTTACAATAATCACCCACAGATATGTACATATGTTGGAAGTGCTGTTTTATATTATATTATATTATATTATATTATATTATATTATATTATATTATATTATATTATATTATATTATATTATATTATATTATATTATATTATATTATATTATATTATATTATATTATTCATTAGCTGCCATTATATCTACAATTGTCACTAGTACAGAAAACTCAATCACAAAATTAATGAACTATAACATTTTCCTGATAGGCTTTTATTCGCGTGTAGTGGTAACTATAGTATAAGCGGAATAATTGACTCCAGTCCATTGAATTGTTAGGAATTAATGCACACCCATTATCACCTCGGTGTGCATTATTTTCTAATAATTCAACAGCCCGTCGTCAGTAATTCCTTACGGATTTACATTTTAATGAGAATATATATTAAAAAAACACATTCTACATATCAGGAAATAAATAGACAATTAATTGAAATTAATGATGTAAATCTTTTTTTATTGTCCGACTGATGAAATTCCTCTGTGCCGTGACTGTTAAATTTTTCTGAATTGCAATCCAATACAATCTCAGCCACAAGTCTCATTCAAGCTGTATTCTTTATCCAGTGTCCAATTTCAAAGCAAACAGACAGTGTTTGAAAATAGCCGTAACCGGAGCATAAATGTTATCACAAAGAATCCAGCAGGTTAATGGGATTTGCTTACTGTGCCTGTAACAGGATATGCCAATAACTGTCTTTGCTTACAGACTCAAGCGGAGAGAAAAAAGAAAGCAAGTGTCCAACCCCAGGTTGCGATGGCACGGGGCACGTCACTGGACTCTATCCTCACCATCGAAGCTTGTCCGGCTGCCCTCACAAAGACCGTGTGCCACCAGAAAGTAAGCCGAATATGAACAGCCATTTGCACGTTGGTCCCCATGCGTGTTTGCTACGTGCCGGCTGTGCTGTGGGCATGTTTTACCTCTCTTTTCTGTAATGCATATGAGTGTATTTCCTCCTCCACCCGAAGCGGTGGCGCATTTTCTCGTACGACCAACCTCTGGTTGTGCTGATTGGTGCTGAGTAATTTTAGCCTGTTTCTCAATATGGCTGCACTGATCTCTCAGACCCAAAGCAGCTTTCTCATCACTACCTCCAGTCACACCTCTAATTGGATGAGGATCATGTCACAGGCGGGTTCTGATGAGTCAGTTTACTGCAGGCCCAGAGACGTAGCGCTGCAGGATGTGTCATAGACAACCTAATGGCTTGACTCATTTAAATCACCAAAAATAAATCCGTTTTTATTGAAGAGTGCTTTCTTTTCCTCGTACGCCAATGCTTTCACACAACGTGCATGCCATTAACACATTGCATGCCTAGATTCTTCTTTCACCATATGGTGTGGCCGTGATTAACTTTATGATTAACTGATTTCAGCTGGAACGTTTCTTAGGAGCATGTGCATGCTGTTGTCACTGAGCCCGTTCAGCTTAATGGAACACAAGGCTTTCATACTCACTCTGGATCCTTCTAACCTTCTCTCGCCCTCTCCTCTCTGTTTGTCCAAGTTCTTGCAATGTATGAGAATGTTCTAAAGTGCCCCACGCCTGGCTGCTCAGGACGCGGCCATGTAAATAGCAACAGGAACTCCCACCGCAGGTGAGTGGCTGGAAGGGACGTGGAGAGAAGAAACTGGCGCCACTGTGGGGACTGATGTTCCAGTCTTTTTACACACTTTATATAGGGAATAAGAAGAATGCGTAGTTTTAGATGGAGCCTTGCTTTCAGGAAGGAGAAGAGGGACTGATTTGTTTGTGTTGTGCTGAGCTCGGCTGGATCGTAGAAACACATAGCTCCAGGCTCAAATATTTTATTTGCACATTGGCACTTTTGACATGCAGACTGGAGATTCAGGATTCTATTCCCACATGGAACAAGGGACTTGTTGAACTTTTGAAACCTTTTAAAAAAGCCTCTAAAAATGTATAAATAAGATAATATATAAAATATTTGAAATATAAAATAAATATGGTCATATATTTATTTATAAATATTTATTAATATTTGTTTATTACATTTAATTGATATTGTATATAATGATACTTTATATAATACAATATCTATACACGTACACAGATATGTACATACTGTATATGTGTGTGTGTGTGTGTGTGTATATACACTACCAGTCAAAAGTTTTTGAACAGTAAGATTGTTTTTTTTTTCTCTTCTGCTCACCAAGCCTGCATTTATTTGATCCAAAGTACAGCAAAAACAGTAAAATGTTGAGATATTTTTACTATTTAAAATAACTGTTTTCTATTTGAATATATTTTAAAATGTAATTTATTCCTTTGATTTCAAAGCTGAAATTTTAGCATCATTACTCCAGTCACATGATCCTTCAGAAATCATTCTAATATTCTGATTTGCTGCTCAAAAACATTTATAATTGTTATTATTATTATTGTTGTTGTTGAAAACAGCTGAGTATAATTTTTCAGGTTTCTTTGATAAATAGAAACTTCAGAAGAACAGCATTCTGAAATAGAAATCTTTTGTAACAAAACAAAATGATACTGACTCCTAGCTTTTGAATGGTATAGTGTATAATGCTACAAAAGCTTTTTATTTCAGATAAATGCTGATCTTTGGATCTTTCTATTCATCAAAGAATCCTGAAAAAAATGTACTCAACTGTTTTAAATATTGATAATAATAATGATGATAATAATAATAATAAATGCTTCTTGAACAGCAAATCAGCATATTAGAATGATCATGTGACACTGAAGACTGGAGTAATGATGCTGAAAATATAGCTTAATAAATTATTGTAAAATATATTCAAATAGAAAGCAGTTATTTTAAACATTAAAAATATTTCACTGCTTTGGTGTATTTTGGATCAAATAAATGCAGGCTTGGTGAGCAGAACAGAATGTGAAAAAGTGTATGTATAACATTTTTTAATAATAAAAAATGTTTGTTTTCTAAATTAAATAATATAATAATACTAATAATAATAGAAATTGGTATTACTATTGAAATCTATAAAAATCTAAAAAATTAAAAGCATATGTCTAATTCTAATGAATATTTCAATTAAATTTTTATTTAATTAATAATGATATATATATATTTATATATCTAAACAGTTATTTTATTATTATTATTATTATGTTGTTGTTTTTTTAACAAGATGAAAGATGATTTTCTTAAGAATGAGAGCTCCACATGTACAAACAGTCGCAGACTTACACTTAAGCAGTTAAGATGTGCCTCCATGTGCATATGGTGTACATTCAGACAGATGCAGTCTCCACCCGAAGTTGCTGCAGGCCATGTTATATGGAACAGCTCCTATGGGACAAGCACACACACACACTATTAGAAGGGTTCAGCTGAAGAAAACAAAATGTATAATAGGGGAATATAACAACCTTGTACAGTATATATGGTTTGTCTACACATTCCTCATGGCATGGTTGTCATGGCAACTCTGCATAGTGACAGCCGTCCTTCTGTCTGTCAGACAGCACTCACTCACTCACTCTCTTTTTCAAATTCCATTCCTTTAAATGCACTTGTACTTATATGCTTTATGTGTTTCTGAAATTGCAGAG